TTATACTACTGTGGTCTTATCCTTGCCATAAAATAAAATGAAATAAAATAAAAGAAACTGAAAAGACTGAATCTGAGAACTAAAGGAAATAACGTGCTCACCGTATCGTAAATTGAAAGAAATCAAGAAAAAAAATTCAAACCTTAAGTTTAAATCTTAAAATAGCCTTTGGGAACAATAATGAATGTTCCATGAAGCAACAAGTGAAGATGAAAAGAATACACAGAGTCACTGCACACACACAAAAAGAGACCAAAAACTAGGCTCCATTCCACTATCTTAGGAGGTAGCACACAAATGAGAGCCAATTGTGCTGATGGAAGAAGTTCAAATTGCACTGAATTCATTAACCCAAAACAAGGCTCCACAAATTATTGTTGAAATATTTGAATAAAGTGATGAAGCACTGGAACCCATCAATCCTTTGTGCCAGGGAATTTGGGAGATAGCTACTTGGTCAACTAATAGGAGGTGATACATATTTGATATTTGTACCCATTCCAAAGGAAGGTGGCCCCACAGAATGTATAAGTTATAGAATAAAATCATATATATGGCCTTCAATTAAACTTGCTGAAGACCATCCAGCAATGATTGCAAGAGTACATTGACAGGAAACTGCCAGAGCTTCAAACTAAATTCAGAAGAGGGCATGGAACAAGGGAAATCATCCTGACATTGGATAGATCTTGGTTTAAAGGAGGAATACTAGAAAGATGTTTACTCTGTTTCATGGCCTATGCAAAGCCATTCAACGGTGTGAAATGGCGTAAACACAGAATCACCTTGAGGAGAATGGAAATCCTAGAACACTTCATTGTGATCCTGTGAAACTTGGATCAAGAGGCAGTTAAACTAACAGAACAAGGAATGATGCATGCTTTAAAATCAGGAAAGGTGTCTGACAGGTTCGTATCCTCTTATTTAAACTGTATGCTGAGAAAATCCTGGAAGTAGCTGGATTATATGAAGAATGAAGCATCAGGATTGGGGGAAGGCTTATTAAAAACCTGAGTTATGCAGATGGCACAACCTTGCTTGCTGGAAGTGAAGAGGACTTGAAGCACTTGTTGATGAAGATCATGGATTTTAGCCTTCAGTGTGGACTACAACCCAATCAATATAAAGAAGACGCAAAGCCTCGCAACTGGACCAATAAGTAACACCTTCATAAAGGCAGAGAAGGTTGAAGTCAAGGACTTGGTCTTTCTTGGATCCACAACCAATGCTCAGGGAAACAAAGGTCAAGACATCAAAAGACAATTTGCATTAGCTAATTCTGCTGCACAACACTTCTTTACAGTAGTGAAAAGCAGGGATGTTATGTTTACGACTAAGGTGAGTCAATCCCAAGGCATGTTATCTTCCATGGCCTCATATGTATGTGAAAGTTGGACACTGAATCCAGAAGGCCGGAGAAAAATTGCTGCATTGGGATTGTGATGCTGGAGAAGAACATTGATAGTGCCATGGGCTGCTAACAGGACAGGCGAAGTTGTCTTTGAGGAAGTGGGTAAGAGTGCTCTTTAGAGGCAAGGATGACAAGACTTCAGTTTATATACCTTGGACATTTAAGGAGGGGCAATTCCCTGAAAAAACAACATAATGCTTTGTAAAGTGGAGGGTGACCCAAAAGAAGAAAGCCCTCAATTGAGTAGATTGACAGAAGGCCTGAAGCTATGGGCTCAGGTATAGAGACATTTATGATGGTGGCATAGAATCAGAACGTGTTTTATTTGATTGTACAGAGGGTTGCTATGGTTCAGAACCAACTCGGCGGCACAAAATAATGACACCAACAACAGTCTCACAAGACTAAACCCCTAGAAAGTTCACTGACCTGGAAAGCACTTGACTTTTTGTCTGGCTAGTTTCCCATTCACTAAGGAGCCCTGGTGAAATAGATGTTAGGTCTTAGGTTACTCTCTACCAGGTCAGCAATTCCAAAAGATGGGAGTGCAATGGAAGCATGTTCATGTATGATGTGCCACATGAAGAGAAGATTTCTGAGCCTATGAACTGGTGCATATGGCTGCTGACTTTAAGGACAGACTGTCCTGATTTGACTTTGCTTATGAATGCGGACTTCACAAATTTTCAACTGGAATAAAGATTGTTCACATCAAAGAATATAATGGTCTTCTCAGCACACTGGGTTGAGGTAAGTGGGCAGTATAAAAATTGGATACCAAAAATGGGGCAGATCGAGGTATGAAGTGACTGGCTTACAAACTTTCATACATAGGGGAATATACTCAAAGGAATATATTCATATAATTATGGTGTAGGTGTTCTCTTAACTGCATTTTTTAGGCATAGAATATTTTGTTATTCATTTATAGACTATTATGTTTAAATGAGGCTTTGGCACATATTGAATTGTATGCATTTTAGTTTTATCCTATTAGGTACAGATATGATTTTATTATTGTTTTGTTTAAAATATATATATGGCTGAAGGGTTGTGTAAGTGTCAAGTAAACAAGGGGTGATCTGAGGCAGTTGCATAATCCATCACCTTGAGGAAGGGGTGGAGTCTGGTCTGTCAATCAGGTTGCAGCTTGATGACCTCATTTGGAGGCACAAAGGCGATAAATAGCTCAATGGAGGTGGGACACACTCAATCCCTGTGAGGCATTCCTGTTTACAAGACACATGGAGCTATGCTAGTGTCCTGGAGCTGGAGGAGTCATGGTGGAGATCTCTGCCAGCACTGAGATGCCTCCACTGCCACTGGATCCACAAGACTTTCCACCCAGTGGCCTGTGATCTTCCTGCATTCCATGTCATTATATGTGTTGCGTGAGGCTGAAGAGGTATTTATACATTGCTATCGGACATATGGGCTAATATCTGACTTATGGATGTGATACGGACTGGGCTGTGATGTTTTCTCAAGATACAATTATATATATATTTATTTTATATATATATATATAGCTTTATATAAAACTCTTTCTTATACACATATGAGTGTCTATGACTTTTGTTTCTCTAGTCTACTCAGACTAACACAATGGGGCTTTCTACTTTCATAGTCACATTATTATAAACCCACAGGAGAAGTTCTAGCTGGCCTAAAGGGCCATTATGAGTTTGAATCTACTCAATGAGAGGGAGTTTTGTTTTTTGGTTTTTTTTACATGCACACGTTACCAATAAGTCTAGATTAATTATTACTTCTTCCTTATTTCTTCTAAACACCATAATGCAAAAAAGCTAGGGACCAGTGTGGCATGAGATGGAAGAGAAAGGTTTCTATGAAGTAAATTATGGCATAATGCTAGAGCATTGATATTACTCTGATAGGACAATGAAAGTCTATTGTTGTCCTTGGAAGCCAAAAGCTAGCTGGTCCTGGAAATCCTTCAAAAATGGAATTGAGGCCAAAAAAAATTACTTACAAAATTAATAGCTGCATACCAGTTACCATTTCCTTCAGCAACAAAGTCACATCTTGAACACAGCTACACCTGAAGCCACCATTTGATGAAGTTTATTATAATCCGGTATTATTTCCAAAATTCATCTTAATCGGTGAGTTATATGGGGATGTGGTAGGAATCACCAGCCCTGCATCATGTAAGTTCTTGAGGATGCACCTCATCAATCTCTCAAGGAATGTAACACCGCTTTTGCTTACCTACGTTCCTAGGCAGGGGCAGTTCCAAGGACTTCTTCTTGGCATTTCCTGCCATAGCATCCTTTATTCCACTCTCAGACTTCCAATTTTCAATTTCTGAGTATGTTTATTTAAATTATACATTCTGGAACTCTGGAAAATAATGTAGTTCTGGAGAGTCACTGAATTCCTTTTGAGATGAACCTGAGTTAAGAGTTTGACTTCCATAAGCCCCTATACTGGCCATTGGGCATTTAAAATATTTGAGTCCCTTGGGATTATTGGCAATTTTGAACTGTTATCCAGAAATCGCCAGGAAGTATGATTTTTTTCCCCATGATGAACAAGCCCTGTTGGTAAATGTTTTCTATTCCATTGGGGAAGGTCGGGAGAAAAAGACAAATGGTTGAAAATGTGGTGCTGTAGTGGAGTCCTTCCTCAGAGGTATTCAGCCTTCCTTTCAGCAAAAGTATTGGGGACCTGTGAATGGCTCAAGTCTGGAAATTGATTGCTGGTTTATGACTCTCTATTCTGGACCATTGAGTTAGAATGCCATTTATCTGACCTAGAATTCTTCCACTTGTACAGATCTAGTAAATATTGTTTTACTTTTCCATCTATTTCACTCCCAGAGACACACTTCCTAAGTGGCCAACTCCATAATCCATAGCAGTAAGGCTATTCTAATTATATTGCTCTGATGCTGCTATTTTCTGCACCTAACTTGTTGATTTAATGCTGCCACTTGACTCCTACTATTATATATCCCAATCAGATCCATTGTAGTTAGGCACCTTAATTCAATTAGGACAATTCCAATTGTCAAACGTGTATTACATAAAATTACAATTACAACAACCTTCAAATCTGCTGGAGTTTGCTTCACAAATGTGTTCCTCACTACTGTGATACAAAGGAATCTATGACTCTGCACTGATAAATGCATTTCACATATCAATCTCTGTAATACTTTGAACACTTTCTTCTATTGCAGGGGTGTCAAAATCAATTAAAACGTGGGCCATTTGGTGCAACAGGCAAGATTCACGTGGGCCACATCACATTTAGAAATTTTGTTAAATTTATATTTTGACATGAGGATTCAGGTATATGGACAGGATAATGAAAACACTATAATTACTTTTAGTTAAACATTTATTTTATTTAATGATTTATAAAACTAAAATTATTCTTTTTTTTACCCAAAACTCGCCAGCACTTTCCTCTTACTAGTTTTCACTTACCTCTTACGTTGTGACTGGAAAATATACCAAAGTAACTAATAAAAAACACAAAATGCAGTGAGTGAACTCCTCAGGCCACTCTGCTCAGCGGCCACCCCTGCCTCCGTCATGCGACCAGGCTCTAACCCGTCTTTCCCTCGCACCCAGGTGGGGCCGCCGCCAGGATGCAGATCTTGAAGACCCTTACGGGGAAGACCATCATTCTGGAGGTCGAGCCCTCGGATACGACAGAGAATGTGAAGGCCAAGATCCAGGACAAGGAAGGAATTCCTCCCTATCAGCAACGGCTCATCTTTGCTGGCAAGCAGCTGGAAGATGCACGTACCCTGTCTGACTACAACACTCAGAAGGAGTCCACTCCTCATCTTGTGCTAAGACTTCGTGGTGGTGCTAAGAAAAGGAAGAAGAAGTCTTACACCACTCCCAAGAAGAACAAGCATAAGAGAAAGAAGGTGAAGCTGGCCGTCTTAAAATACTATAAGGTGGATGAAAATGGCAAAATCAGCCGCCTTCGGCGTGAATGCCCTTCAGACGAGTGTGGGGCTGGGGTTTTCAAGGCCAGCCACTTTGACAGACATTACTGCAGCAAGTGCTGTCTGAACCACTGCTTCAACAAACCATAGGACAAGTAACCGTACTGGTTAATAAAGGCCATGAACATCTAGAAACAAAACAAAACAAAAAAACCCACAAAATGTTGCATAGCTGACAAACGTGATGCACAATCGTAATGACTTCCCTCTAAAAATGTTAATTAGCGCTGTTGCTAGGTGTGATTCATAACACCACAACCCAGAGAACTCTTTTTAACCTTTTCGCTACTGGGATCTGTTTACATTACATGGCACTGAGAGTGGCATACATATCGCGTCCAAATGTCACCAGAACTGAGTCAGCGTGTTTGTACATGTCCACAGGCCCCCAGGAAAGGCACTGGGCCATGTGTATACTCTTCTTCGGTAGTTAAAAGGGTAACGAGGGAATTGTGTGTATGGTATTGCCTAGATCTCCCCTAAGCACTATTTTCTTCATAATAATTTTTTCTAGTTTCACTTTGTTTCAGAGCATCATGGGCCACAAAAAATTACCTCAGGGCCACCACTTTGACATCCCTGTTCTATAGTATGCCAAGATAAATCTGGGGCTTCAATTTCAATTATTGTAGGCTATTTTGCAATCTGTGTTTCAGCCAACCAACTAAATAAAGTATTAGATCTTCCTAACCCCTTGAACTGAAACATTGAATAATCTCTACTCTGTTGTTCCATATAAACAAACTCAGAATTATTTAGCCTGATGTTCCTTGCACCATTGTCCCATGCCCTTAATAACCATTCTCATATTTATCCCCAATCATTTTGTTTGTGCGTATTAGAAAACTCAAGCAGTTCTTTGCTAATCTATTGCACTTCTTCATGGGATCCCATTTGGACCTTGAATTTTGGAACTTTATAGAACTTAAGTCTTGTTACAGGTTTGGGAGCAATAATGTGTAGTGACGTGGTTTCCAGTGGACACTCAGAAATATCTTGAAAGACATCTACCTCAATTGATGCTCTAAGAAAAGCCACAACTGCCATATACTGTATATACTCAAGTAAAAACTGACCTGAATATCAGTCGAGGCATCTAATTTTATCCCCAAACCTGTATTAAAAATGCGCTGAAAAACTTGGCTTGTATACGAGTATATACGGCAAGTATGAACAATTGGGTTAATATACTTAAGTGTAGATAGAAGCTTACACTTTAGATGTGAGGGAGGGTACGATTGGCTGAAATGACTTTATGGAATTAGAGCTCAGCAGCACATCTTTCTGATTATCTTCCCTTATGCCCCCTTCCCAAATGTCAGAGTACTCTTTCTTCCCCCAAAATGCCCTCATTTTACCCTAAGACACCTTTCAAGACTGGCAATTTAGTTGGCATTGCAACTCAGCCAGTGTTATGCTAAGCCTCTGGAAGAAGAAGTTCAAGCTGAACTGAAAGCATCAGCCAAAGCAAGGCTACTGAAATTGATGGAATAAAATTGAAATTCTACAGAAAGCAAATGAAAGAGTGGAGTCACTCACTCATCTATGAAAATAAATTTGAAAGACAGCTACTTGGCCAACTGACTGATAGGAATCTATATCTGTATTTTGTCCCACAGAAAAGTGACCCAACAGAATGTTCAAATTATAGTATATCATTGATATCATATACAAGTAAATTTTGCTGAAGATCCTCTAACAATGGTTGTAGCAGTGCATGGAAAGGGTGATACTGCAGATTCAGGCTAGATTTGGAAGATGATTTGGAACAAGGGATATCATTGCTTATATCAGATGAGTTGTGCCTGAATGTAGAGAATACCAGAAGGATATTTATTGTATGCAGTCAACTATGCAAAGGCACTTGAATGTATACATCATCATAAACTGCGGATAACCTTAACCTGATGGGAATTCCAGAACACTTCATTGTGCTCATATGGAGCCTATGCACGATCAAGAGTCAAACAGAACAAAAGTAAAAACAAAACAAAGAAATATGCCTGGTTTAAAATCAGGAAAGGTGTGAGTCAGTGTTGCATGCTCTCAGTAAACCCTCAAACACCAATAGGTAAAATCATGATAAATCAAGAGGCAATTGGAATTGTCAAAGATTGTTTTACTTTTGTTGGATTCACAATCAATGCTCATGGAAGCAGCAGTCAGAGGATCAAATGACACATGATATTAGGTAAATCTGGCTGCAGAAGATCTCTTTTCAGGGGGCCTCAAACTTTTTAAACAGGGGGTCAGTTCACTGTCCTTCAGACCTGTTGGAGGGCCGGACTATAGTTTAAAAAAATAAAAAAATGAACAAATTCCTCTGCACACTGCACATATCTTATTTTGAAGTAAAAAAACAAATGGGGCAAAAACACCCAGCGGGCAGGATTAAAGTCCTCTGTGGGCCGCATGTGGCCCACGGGTCGAAGTTTGAGGGCGCCTGAAAATCATTGAGAAGTAGGAATGTTACCATGAGGACTGAGGTACACCTATCCCAAGGCTTGTTATTTCAATTGTCTTATTGTGATAGTTAGGTTTATTGTGCCGACCTGGCCAATAGGAGCATGTGGGATTAATAAGGTCACAGTTTGATTGGAGGACAAAGAGATAAATGGCTCGGCAAGCCGCACTTCTCTTTCTCTTGCTTTCTGGTGGTTAGACCAGCATGTGACTGCTAGTTCTCTGCCTCAACTTGTAAGCTACATTACCTGTGGGACTGCCAACTAGTGAATCGTGTTGCTAGAGCTTGAAGTTTCTCGAGGCCTGCTTTGCCATGCTGCTTGTTGTATACATCACTTGAGCTTGGGACATTCAGATCCTGTCGTCTGGCTGACTGTTGGTGTCCAGCCCTGTTGTCTGTTGCCTGTGGCCAGACTGCCTGCACTGCACTATGGAAGATTCAGGTGTCTGCTTCCTTGATCTTGGACCCAAGGCTCTCCTAAGTTGAAGGACTTCCAGTATATTAACTGTTCCATAGAAGTAAGTTGAACTGAGCCCTCTGTACTGCTATGTGGACTAATTAGCTGTTATATTCCTTCATGCTGTATCTATCATCTATCTATCTATCTATCTATCTATCTATCTATCTATCTATCTATCTATCTAAAAAAATCATAAGTGGCCTGGTTTTGTTTCTCTAGAGTACACTGTCTAACACACTCTTATACATGTGAAGTATATGAGTTAAGTCATACAACACACTCATTCAATGTAAAAATTGAATAAGAAAGAGCAAAAGAAATTAGTGAAATTCTACTATGGTGTTTCTGAAAGATACTGATGGTGCCGTGGACTGCAAAAAGATCAAATAAACTTGTCTTGGAAGAAGAACAAAGAGTATGCTCTTTCGAGGCAAGGGTGGTGAGACTTGTTCTCATGTACTTCTGACATACTGGCAGAATACCGGTTTTTGGAGAAGGACATTATGTTTGGTAAAGTGCAGGAGGAGTGGGAAAGAAGATGTGTCTCTGTGAATGTGATACATTGCCACTGTGGCTGCAACAGTGGGCTCAAGCCCAAGAACCATTTTGAGGATGGCACAGTACCAAGTAGTGTTGTTTTTTTTTTGGGGGGGTATTCATAATTTTGCTTGAGTTGGAGCTGTATGTATATATATATAGATATATAGATAGATAGATAGATAGAGATAGAGAGAGAGAGAGAGAGAGAGAAGAGTAAAAGACAGAGAAACAGAAATTTATATAAAAAAAAAGAGGTTTACATATTTGTAGAAGCTTGCTTGCAAGTCTAGACTGAGTTCCATGGGTCTTTTGTTAAGCTGTATAATTTTCCTGACCTGCAAAGCTTCGGGTGCTAATGAATCCAAGAGTGGCAAGAAGATCACAATATGTTACCAGGAGGTTGAAACAAAAAGGTCTAAGAGCAATAAGCCAGATGTGTGACTGGAGAGGCAAATGAATCAAAGGTTAGCAGATCAGATGGTAAGTCGGATGGTAGACAGTTGGTGGCTTCTGATGACAGCTTAATTGTAAAGAATCAGAGGTGATTGAGTCAGATGTACGATCCAAACCCTGATAAAAGAAAGCAAGCTTCTCCACAGGGTTCATTCATATAGGAAGTAGGACACACCCCCAAGGAAACTTTTTTCCAATTGGTGTGGTCTAACTCGGAAGATTGCACTCTACCCTAGTCTGTGTAGACTTGATGAACTCCTCACACCAGTTTTATTTTGAAGTTGATTACACTGTGTTAGATACATCATAGCATATTGCTAGGTCTTAAGTTTCAAATTAAGACCGTTAAGCATCTGGCTCCAGTCAAGTTGGCCTATTACAAATCATTTACCTGATTAGTAAAGCATATCTGTCTTGAACATTGTTCTTTTTTAAGCAAACAGCCAATGCTGTGAAGGCAGCAGTAAAGGAATCAAACCATATATTGCCTTGGGCAATGGTGGTGCAATAGATCTGTTTTTTATACAAAGATTTCAGTTTGAGAATGAAAGTAGGCCCAACCCCAAACGTATTTTCATTACTCTGCTTCATATGGACCATGAAAAAGGATGACAAAAATAATGGTGGCTTTGAATTATAGAGCACTGTTGAATATATTGAATGCAATTGGGCTTGCTAGAAGGAAGAAGACATTTGACTTAAAAGTGATAGCCAGAAGGCAACACGGAAGAAGATAGGAGGAAAATTTGTGTCACGAATTTTAGGCATTTATCAGGAGACACCAGTCTCTGGTGGAGGACATCATGCTTGGAAGAGGGTCACCGAACAAGAGGATGACCCTCAGGAGATGAACCGAAACAGGGCTGCAACTGTGGTCTCATATCTGACATCGATTGGGAGTGAGGATGGTGCAGGGCTGAGCTGTGTTCTTTCTGTTGTACATAGTATCACTATGAATTAGACCACGTGAGTCCAATTCATATAAATGCTAAAGAGTCGATGGAAAACTAAGTTTACATTAATGGAGAGGAACAATTTAGGGAAATGGGAGTGAGAATTGTTGAACCATTTGAAATGGATAGTTAATGCTCCTTAATTGGATAGAGAGAAATTATTGGCTTGTATGTGTAGCTGCATATATTTACAACAACAAAAACATAAAATAAAGTAAAT